GAGTGTAAATTAGTTCAACCACTGTGGAAGACAGTGTGGCACTTCCTCAAAGATCTAGAAATAGAAATTCCATTTGACCCAGGAAGCCTGTTACTGGGTATATACCCAAAGGATTATAAATCGATCTTTTATAAAGACATATGCACACATATGTTCATTGCAGCACTGTTTACAATAGCAAAGACCTGGAACCAACCCAAATGCCCATCAACGATAGACTGGATAAAGAAAATGTGGCACATATACACCATGGAATACTATGCAGCCACAAAAAAGGATGAGTTCATGTTCTTTGTAGGGACATGGATGAATCTGGAAACCATCATTCTCAGCAAACTGACACAAGAACAGAAAATCAAACACCATACGCTCTCACTCATAGGTGGGTGTTGAGCACTGAGAACACATGGACACAGGGAGGGGAGCATCATACAATTGAGTCTGTTGGGGGGGACTAGGGAAGGGAGGGAAGGGAGAGGGGAGGTTGAGGAGGGATAACATGGCGAGAAATGCCAGATATAGGTGATGGGGGATGGAAGCAGCAAACCACCTTGCCATGTATGTACCTATGCATGATCTGCACATGTACCCCAGAACCTAAAGTACAATTAAAAAAAAAAATTAAGCTGGCTTTTAAGTCTCATTTTCTTTCACAGTGAATTTAGCTGTTAGATCCTATGTGAAGAATTGTATTGGGTAAATAAAAAAATAATATGCATTAAGTCCGAGTGGTTATTTACCAATCACTGCAGCACAACTCCAAGAAATCAGGCAAATAGGGGAAGTCTCGATAGTTGGATTTGTTTATTTTTGTGAATAATGCGGCAAAAGCCCTGATGCACTGTACTGATATCAAGGACATTGCACAATTCGTGCCATGTTGCACTCCGCCCTAAACTCTACTCCTTTGTCCTTCCAATGCAACCATCCCCAAGTGGTTTATGAACATATGGAATTAGGCGTATTCAGTGTAGGTCTATGTCATTGTCATTCATTTATTTATTAAGCCTAGAAATACTTTACTGGGTACCTACTAAATGCCAAAAGTTATGCCAATGAGCAAATAGACAGTCCCGGTACCCACGGAACTTACGCCTACCTAAGAAAGGAGACTGGCGACTCTTTAAATTACAGTTATGGCAATTGCTTCAAATCATAACACTTTGAGAGTATGGAGCTTATCTACCCTAGGCTGGGAACTCGGAAAAGAGATCCTTGAGAAAGCCACATTTGAGCTCAGGCAAGAAGGAAGGGTAGGAGCTGGCCAGGAAGAGGTAGAGGAAGGAGTGTGTGCAAAGGCCAGGGAGGGCCCATTGGCACGGTAAGCACAGACAATGTGGCTGGAGCATAATGAGGGAGCAAAAGTAAAGTAAAATTAGGAGTAGACTGGGGAGGCAGCTATTTAGAGCGTTAAAAGCCAAATAAGACCAAAAATCATACTACATACCTAAAATACGCATAATTTTAATTTTTAATTTTTTTTTTAAAAGGACAATGAGCAACCAATGAAAGTGCTTACAGAAGAGAAAAAGGTATTCAGGTTTACCTTTGAGGAGCACTGTGGCTACTCTCTTGAAAATGGAAGGGGAGGCCGGGCATGGTGGCTGATGCCTGTAATCCCAGCACTTTGGAAGGCCGAGGCAGGCGGATCGCTTGAGGCCAGGAGTTTCAGACCAGCCTGGCCAACATGACGAAACCCCATCCCTACTAAAAATACTCTACTAAAAATTAGCCAGGTGTGGTGGCACGCACCCGTAATCCCAGCTACTAGGGAGGTTGAGGCAGGAGAATTGCTGGAACCTGGGAGGTGGAGGCTGCAGTAACCCAAAATTGCACCACTGCACTCCAGACTGGGTGACAGAGCAAGACTGCATCTCAGGGGGAAAAAAAGGAAGAGAAGATGGAGAAGATGGAGCATGGAACGGAAGAACCAATTAGCAGATTATCACAGTGGTCCATGTATTCAAGGATAGTTTTCAAACAAGGTAAAGTCATGACTCTCAAACAAATGTGGTAATAATGTGTGTCAAAGACTTTAATTAACTTATTCATTAATGAGGGACCCAGTGAGGTGTTATAACCAGTTCAAAGGGAAATGTTAAAAACACATATTTTATACAAGAAAAAGGAAAACTGAAACAGATTTGCACTAGATGCAAAAACTGGTCTATCCAAGGAACAATAATTAATTGCTTTCCAAATAATTTTCATGTTTATGGATAAGAATCATTTGCATTGTTACCTACTTTCCACAACTTACACAGTTGTAAAGTAGCTCCAAATAATTAAAGGCAGAAATAATTCAGATGCCTGAGCTAACAGGACACCCACTATTCTTTATTGCCCATTATAAAGTCTCTCACCATTTTTTCTAACACCAATAACAACGACTTGGAAAAGAGAGGTGTCACTAAAAATAGTGTAAGCAAACAATTTGGAATATATGTAGGTATTGTAATTCATAAGACCCAGTGTTTGACTGAGATTTTTGATGGGGAGGAGGCCACAAAGGAAACAGCCACACAAATGTCTGTTTTAAAACAAATTCCTAAATGGCAGAAGATGCCATCAGTGTCTGTTTGGATTTCTCAGCACAGGGGCCCTCTTGCTCTGTTTAGGGACCCACACTTTAGGGAAATAGTGGACCCAATGAAAAATTCTATTTTAAAGCCCACCACAATGTACCAAAAAACATGGAAAAATGAAACAGAATTCATTTGCTTCAATGGGATTTTTGTTTCTTGTTCTAGCCCCTGCATTACCTAGTAATGCCAGGCACGCATACAGCCTTTCCCCAGCTCAGCAAGGGTTAAGCCACATGGGAGTCTGAGAAAATCTCCCAGTCTAGAAATCCATTACTCCCTCTTCCACTATACCCAACTGGAAGCAATCCAACTTAGGGTCTTAAGACAGACAAAGGAAAGAAAAAACAATGTGGATATTGAGTGTCACTGCCATGGCCCTCCCATCTCCAAATAGTCATAATTTCTCAGGTAAGTTCCTTCTACGTTGATTTCTTGTTAGATGAAAATTAAAGTTGTCAGCGTCATCGCACTTTTGGTAGTTTTTCTCCAAACACCATCACCAAACACTAACACAGAAGCTTTTTAGCTAAAAAGCTTCTGAGTTAGTTTCCACAACTATAACTTTTACTATAAATGATAAAAATTACCAAGTCTCTTCTACTTTCTTGGCAAGAAATATAAACATCCCAGTGCAAACAATTTACATGGGACTTAAAAAGCCCCCATTTAGATTACAAAATAATAGATATTATAAATATACAAATTTAAATATCAAGCTCCTTTAATAAACTAGTCTGGTACTACCAGATTTTACTTTATTCAAGGTCTTTTTAAAGATGTACTGAGAAATTTCTTTTCAATTATGCTTTCTCAATTGTCATCTCTCTTCCTCTGCAAACCCTTTCCATGTCCCATTACTGCCTATTTCTCTCCATTTTCATAAGTAGGTACAAAGTAATTTACCCAGTTTCAAATGCTCTCCAAACTTAGGTCTATGAAGTCTACAATCCTTTCAAAACAATCTTCAAAATTAGTTCTAAGGCAATTCTTCCCCAAAGACTAAATTAAGCTGCTAAAAACTGCTTCACTTCTTCTATCTAAACAATTACCACGTTATCCTCATGAATAACCAGGATGAATAATCTTACTTATATGAGCAATCAAGAGACCACTGGAAAAAAACACCTCATATCCAGACTCCCAGTTGCTAAAAACTACATTCTCTGGAAAATGGTCACATGCAGATGAATAGTTCAAAAGTTTTTATTAATGTCAAGCCCGAGATGCACATATGTTACCTCTGTCTCTGGAATAAAACAAATTAAAATTTACCAAAACACACCTGCATCTGCTTTGGAATAATCCTACACATATAACTGCCAATTATGGAAGCACCTTTATGCTCTAATTCTCTATATTTTTAATGCTTCTGTCAAAGTCAGTTTCCACATTCCTTTGTACTCACAGGCAAGATAAAATATGCCTTAAGATAAACTTGTAAAGCCTAAGAAGCAGTGAAATCAAATAATCAACTATAAATATTGGGATGTGGAGCAATTTTTAAACTATGCTGCTACTTGAAGTAACCTTAAGATATCTTCACTTTTCCCCAAGAAATACCAACTTTTGTCTCCCTGACCTTTACAACTATCTCAAACAGGAAATTTTGAAGAGCAGCTCTTATTTAAAATAGCTTTTATATTATTTAAAAGATCACAACAGTGTTTCTCTGAGAAACCTCTGTTTTTCATCTTGCTACAGTAGAGTCCTACACAATCTGTTCCCCTAAAAACTCTCCTCCCCGCTCAGGCTTAGTGCATAAAATTCCAATACCAATTAACTAATAGATAATCATATTAGACCAGATTTGAAAATAACACTGCCAATTCCTCTCTTCAGCATGCTCTACCCCTAAGAAAAAATACTGATCAAAGCAATGATTATGTTCTAAATGTTTAGAAATGCTAAGAACAGATCTTTGGGAGGAAATTAAGGAAGTACCCAAGAAAGAAAAAAACCCACAAGGCAGATAAATATTATTAGCCACATCCACAAGAATAAAAATCCATAAATACTTTTGACAGGGTAGAAAGACTGCCTGAATGATAACATTTGGTTTTAACCAGGCAAAATTAAATTATCATCCTCTTACCTAAATGAACACAAAAATTTTCCCAATGATATGCTCATTTCCTAGATGTACCCAGGATTCACAGAATCAAAAGCAGATCACTGTTGCCTTAGATATCTGGAGAAGGCCAGGTAAAAGTCAATAACATCACATAAACTACATACACAAGAATTTCCATTTAAACATATTTTAGAAGAGAATAAAAGAAGAATAAATGTATCTGCATACTCAGAAGACTTCTGGTAGGTGACATTTCCTGGGGAAAATTCACTGCACTTCCAACCAAACTCCTTCAATCAGAAAGAGGCATCTGAACCATCAAAGTTTTTGAAAGTCTTGGTTACCTTTGAAAATCGAGCATTTATCCATTTGGTAAAGGTTTTCTTCTGTACGTCATTGTGTTCATCTGTGGAATGGAAAAAGAAAGAGGAGGAAGAAGTATGAGAGTCTGTACCTTTATTAAAGCACCAAATAAGGTTATCTCTATCCTGAGGAGTTTAAAATAGTCCTATTAGTAGAGCTCATGAAGCACAATGATGTGCAGCTAATCCAGAATGTGATGACTGCCCAGTTCATTTATGGAGCCCAACACTGCCTACAACAGTGGCAGAGGGAAGCTCAGGCATCTTTCCCAAGGGACCAGGCTATCTCCCCCAAAGCTCCAGAGTCTGCCATCAGCGACCAAATCCAGGTTTATGGGATCAAATCAGGGCCTTACTTTCCAGCTGCTATGCATAACACTTTCTGCTACATTTTGTTTAAGTAAAATTTCAGCATAATCAAGATGTCAGCATGTTCAAAACAAAAATTAAAGTTATCCAATAAAAACTAAGGAATCCGTGACTTCCTCCCTCTTCATACTGGTCCTCCACCCTCTAGAATGATAGTATAAGGTTTACCGTCAATCTTGTAACCTATTTTCCTGTAGTAAGATTGACATGAGATTTTAATAATCTTGATCTATACAAACTTTTACGAGCAGAAAAATCAGAAGAATTTAAAACCATTACCAATTTTGATTTTGATTACAAATTCATTTTCTAGGTCATAAAAAAATCAAAAGGTACCTTAAAAGACTGACCACCTTGAACTTTTTAAAGATGGATCAAAGGATTTGGTTAGCCACAAGGAGACCATGTAGCTAACAAAAAGAACAAATAGACAGTGCCCCAATCCATTTATGGTGTGACCTTGCATCATTATAATGTCTCCTAGCCTCACAGTTCTCATCTGTAAAATGGGGATAAATAATACCTAGCTCATAAGGGTATTGTGAAGGTTAGTGAATACAAATGAAAAGCACTTGATGAAGAGCTGGTGTTCAGCTCATTGTTACAATGATTATAGTGAAAGTGTGAGCAAGGTAGATAAATCAATATCCATTGGATCTCTTCAAATCATACTCTCTTCCATCACTCCCCAATTTTCTATTAAAGTCAGTAAAAGAGTCATTTTTGGCTTAAAGCCTACAAAGCATCATTTTGACAATCTCTGTAAGTTGTTCAGAAAGCCGTCCAAGGAGTAACTGCAACCGTGCAGAAAGCTGTGACTCCATCCAGATGTGTGTCCTGCCTCCTCTGCCACGTTTCATATTGCCAGGCTGCCTCTCACATCGGAACAGCAAAACAGTAATGGAGGAGGCCCAGGTGTGCTTGGCCCTCCAGCGTCAATTCCACATTAAATACAGTCCTGCTCATGAACTTCTACTAGTATCATTGGAGATTCACCTACTACTTCACCCAGTTTGTAGTCTTTGGTCCTCACCCTCTTGTGGGAGAAGAGTTTGTAATTAAAAGGTCATTCCCAGAATAAATATAGCAGCAGCTTCAGAAAAAAAAAATCACTTTTACAAATCCATAAAGGTAATTGGAGACCCACTCCAAGACACTAAGGGAGCAACTGGCATAGAAAACAAAACTGCTGTTTAAGAAACTCCTTGATGTTAATGGTGCTGAGAGGTGACCTTCCCTCAAGAAAGGACAGCGAAGACAGCAACAACGCCTATCTCAAGCTTTAAATTATCTGACCAAGGTCACATAAGCCATTTATTAAACAAGAGAACTTGCTTACACACTGAATGTCTGAGCCTTTACCACCTTCATATCCAAGATGGGCACAGCTGAGATTATACTCCGAATATAAGGCTACCACCACACATCAACCTAAGAGGGCGCTATACCAGCCTCACCAAAATGAATTTAATATTACATATCAGTGTTTAGGGCATTTAGAAAATCCAATTATTTGTGCCACTAGCTTAAAAAGGATCTACTTTTATAAATCTTGTTATACTCACTTTTATTTAATCCTATGAATAAAACACACAGAAAGATCATAAATAAGTACTAAATTATCTTTATTTGATAACATTCACACAACTTAAGAATTTGAGGCCTTAAAAATGGGAAAAATTCTAAGAGAGAAATCTTAACTACATTTTACATTTTCTTAACTTATTCTAGAGCATTTAACTTTCTTATTTCAAAAACATATTAAAATATCTAATACTATGTAGGTTTCTCCCCAGATATAAAGCGGACAAAGAAATGAGTACTATTACCTTATCAAATAATAATCTTTCCACTTTATCTCAAATACAATGAAATAAAATTTATGGATTCCCATTCTTATGTTTATAAGAATGAATAAGATCATGTTTCAACAAGTCTTTATTTTATGGGTCAAATCAATGTCAGAATATGAATCTAAGTACCAGATAAGTTATTTGTCTTTAAACAATAAATTTTGTAACAACCAAATGTTTCAAAAATACTTCAAAGTTTATAAACACACATCTGCATTCAATTTCTTGATGCAGTTAAACATGGGGAAACGGGGGGTACATATTTCAAAGAGTAGTTTGCATTTTCCTTTTTACAGACACACACACATACATACTTATTTTCTACTAGACAGGAATTCAGTAAAAGAACAAGAATTTGCCTGTGGCTTTTCAATTAAAAGATTGAAATGTAACAAATCTGACACACTTATTAACCTCCACATCACAACAATTAAGATAAACAATCTTGGCCCAGATCTTGGGCAGGTAAAAATAAATTAGCAAACTGGTAATAGGACAACTGAAAATCTGTCCTGCTATTCTGATCAGCCATTTTGTCTGCCTAAAAATTTATACAGAACTTCCACAGTCTCAAATTATTTCCATCTTCATTATCAAGTCAATTTGTTATTTTAACTTCTCCAAAACGAAAACGTGTAAGCATACAACAAACTTACATGTAACTTGATTATAAATATACATGTATAATATTAAATGAATGAGTATAAGTCACACTGAATATACACCTTCTCTGAATGTATTCTTTCAAGTTTCCAAATTCAAACTAGTGTTTCCCTTAGATTTGAATTTTTGAAAACCATTTCGTTTCTGAAAGCCTTTGCTGGCTTAGCAAATCTTATCCATTAATGACCTTTCTCCAATAGGGGGATGAACACGAGACTGAATTAGAGGAAGAAAAATGTGTTAAATCCCTTAAGGCTGCTTTTCCAAATTCTTCCTCTAAATATTTTGCTCTTCTTAAAATACTTGTGACATGCTCACACAGATTCAAAAACCTTTGCTGCTGCCTAGCCTGGAATTTTATTCCTGTGATAGGTTAAAAAAAAAAAAAAAGTAAAGCAAGGAGCAGCAACAAAACTGCTTGATAAATCTTCAAGGAAACTGGTGTAAAAATGTTTTCACTTTACCAGCTCATATGCATTTTGAAAATTGTTTTAGCAGAAGGTAACGACAAATCTCAATTTAAATCTTAAACTGAAAATGTGGCAGAGAAATTAGGAGTTGTTTCCCCTATGAAAGCGCACAAATCACCTCTAAGACTCTACTGTTATTAGAGAGAAAGCATCATCCTCTAGTACACCTTTCGAAGCAATTTAAGAGTGTCCAATTGGCTGGCACTAACCTAATATGAGTTCCAGAAAGTGCAGCTATTCAGAAAAGAAGCACCTAGACCTTTAACCAAGAATGAAATGTCTTACTGGATGATTTTAAACTTGGATTCATTTTATTAGGGCCTCTTTCACCAACACAAAATTTAACACACCCTCGAAAGCCAATTTCTCATTAGCAAAGATGATTGTTTTGAAAGCAACAAAAGCATTTCAGACCACACTCTCATTTCTTCTTTTTGTGGGCCCTACATGTGAATCACCCCAAATATAAATCTGCTACTCACATTTAGTTATGCCATTACATTATCTTGTTTCATCATAGCCAATTCACTGGTGTCTGAACAACACTATTTATTCAAACAATATGTGTTAAAATGTCAAATGGAAATCATAAATATTATATAATAATCTGTAAAATATTATAAATATGTAGGCAAAGAAACTAAGCCAATGGGAGACAGACCGCTGTCACACAGAATGTTTAATCTCCCTGAGTTTCTTTCAAAATCGGACATCTTCAGAGGACCTAAAAAAGCTAAAATTAAAAATGTAGTCTTCAGAATTGTCAAAACTACCTAAGTGTACAAGAAGTTTAGATAGGTAACATTTCAAATGATATTTCTGCGAGTTTGCCACATTTCAACATTGAAGTTATTAAAGCTAAAACCGCATTTAAAACAGACTTTCGCTTCACTCTGTAAAAAGCTAAAAACAAGTTGATTTTTTTTTTAATGATACACTTTGCTTTAGTTTACGGTAAACTGGTTACGTGGGGAATAAATGTGATGGGTAATAACAATACAAGTGGACCACGTCTTCCCAAGATGCTGTGCCACTTCGCTGGCTATTAAACCTGTGAAGCCGAAGACGTTATAGTCTCATTTCTTCTGTGAGTAGAAACCCTCAGGGCAGTGGGCTATTTCTGGTATTTCCTCAATCCCAGAGGCTCGCTCTTAATGCTCTCTCCAGCTGTTCCTCTTCTCTCAGTCCTGCTGTGTATATATCACAGTTCCTGGGTGCTTCTTCGTAATAACCTGGCCTGCCACACAGATAATGATCCTGATATCCAGACTGGCCTGAACAATTGAAGTAGTATCACTGTCCTGGATAACCAATAATTAGAGGGAAAAAGTACCTGCATATGCTTCCATGATATTCTTCAGAGGCTCTTGAATGTGCATTAATACAAGAATCCCAGCCAGATGCCCAGCGAAGGAAGTCCCTGGTGAGAATAGACGAAAAGGCACAAGTGTGGCCCAACAAGCAAATCCGCTGAGTGCAAGGAAGCCCAAAAAAGCCTCCAGGGCAATAATGGTTGTTAAGAATCTCCAAAGTAAACAAAATTCCTGGGAAAACCTAAAGCACGGTTCCTTCCAAAGCCAGGTTCATCCAAACATTAGAGCAGGTACACCACCCCAGGGAGTAGGGAAGATGTGATGACGGCACAGGTAAACCATCGACTTCTCAGTCTTCTTTCCAGATTATTCCTTT